GCTCCCTCTATGAGAAGGCTTTACGCGTCTAAATGGTCTGTGTTCTCCAAATGGTGCACCGACAGAAATCTGGACCCACGAACGTGTGGGGTCTCACGGTTGCTTAGCTTCCTTCAAGAGCTGTTGGACAAGGGCAGGTCCCCCTCCACGCTTAAAGTATATGTGGCGGGCGGCCAGTCAATAGGAAGGAACGAGCTTGTCATCCGCTTCCTTAGAGGAGCCAGGAGGATGAATCCCCCGCGGCCCCCGTCGGTTCCTATGTGGGATCTTTCTTTGGTCCTAGAGGACCTGAAAACATATCCCTTTGAACCGTTAGATTCCGTGGATCTAAAGCACCTCTCGCTCAAAACCATTTTTCTGACAGCTCTGTCATCAGTCAAACGTGTGGGGGACTTACACGCGCTATCCGTTAGCGCTGCGTATCTTGAGTTTGGAACAAATGACTCTAAAGTCATCCTCAAACCAAGACATGGCTATGTCCCTAAAGTGATTGGCACTCCCTTCAGAGCGCAGGTCATTTCCCTATCGGCTCTGCCAGCATACGATAGCGAGAGTGATGTTAATCTCCTCTGCCCTGTCAGGGCGCTGAGGGTTTACATTACGCGCTCCGCCCCTTTCAGACGCTCGGAGCAGCTCTTTGTTTCGTTTGGTGGCTGTACCAAGGGTCTCGCCGCCTCGAAACAAAGCCTGTCCAGATGGATAGTGGACGCTATCGCAGCTGCTTATGCGTCTAAAAGTCTGCAATGCCCTTTGGGCGTCAGGGCTCATTCCACTAGAGGCATGGCCTCGTCGTGGGCCTGGTCTCCATTTCTCCATTACTTAGTAGGGGACACTTAATATTCAAAAGTATTATTGATCTTACTGTACTGACGCTGTTGTATGAATGAACTGAACTGAGCTGGTCGATGACATATTTTTTTTGCAGAACTGCTTTATAGATGAAATGAACAAATTTAATAATTTTTTAAAAACGGAACTGAATCAACACCAAACTGACTTCAGCTGTACAACAGCCCGAAATGCATAATGTTCCTATATTCACTGTAAAACTGCTTCGAAACAATCTGTATTGTATAAAACGCCATAGAAATAAAGGTGGCTTAACTTGCCTTGACACTTTTTGTCACCACTGACTGAACAGTGGTGCATTTGGTTTCTTCTAGAGAGAACCGAGGTTACATTAGGTAACCGAGTACGTTCTCATGTCATCTACAGTTCTTTCTATTGTACAGAAAACATCAAAGGCCCAAAATCCCTTGGAAAGTAACAATATCAAACTGCTTTTCTGCTACTGTCTTTGCAGTATTGCAGTATAATTTCTTCAGTTAATTTCTGCATTCAGATGCTTATCACAATAGACGGTTCTTCCCGTTTACTGACTGTAAGCTTGTTAAGCTCCAGCTGGGAACACATCTCGGTGGGCAAGAACTTAGTGAGAACTATGATTCATGACAGCTCCATGAGGTCCACATTGATTGTGATTGTAGATTCTCTGATGGATAAGCACACTTGGTGGGCTTCGAGGTTTGTAATAATTGCATGGTAACCAGATGAAAGAAATGAGGATGCGGCTAATGAAAAATGTAATTCCTCTGTCAAGAATTCACTGAGCAAAAGAAAAAAAATGTTGCTTGGTTTAGCAGCCTTCATTGTGACCAATTTCAGAGTGTTTAGGAAGAGCTTGTTCAGTCAGATTCACTTGATAGCCAACTAATTGCCTACACTTTCTTCCCCGGTTCTATAATTCATCCTCTTGATATGCTGATAAATTAAATGTGCATTTAGTGCCTGTGCATGCAGCACACAAAAAAAGTATACAAAACAAGACAAGACTATTATATCATGTGGCTGTTTTAGACTCCCTGGTGTTACCATGTTTGTCATCCTTCAAAGAAAAGTTAACACATTTAAACACATTGTCTGATTTCTCCCAAGGTTTTTTTCTCCATTCTTTCACCTGATGGAGTTTGGGTTCCTTGCCACTGTCGCCTCTGACTTACTTAGTTGGGGACACTTAATATTCAAAAGTATTATTGATCTGACTATTACTGTACTGACGCTGTTGTATGAATGAACTGAACTGAGCTGGTCGATGACATATTTTTTTGCAGAACTGCTTTATAGATGAAATGAACAAATTTAATAATTTTTACAACGGAACCGAATCAACACCAAACTGACTTCAGCTGTACAACAGCCCGAAATGCATAATTTTCCTATATTCACTGTAAAACTGCTTCGAAACAATCTGTATTGTATAAAACGCCATAGAAATAAAGGTGGCTTAACTTGCCTTGACACTTTTTGTCACCACTGACTGAACAGTGGTGCATTTGGTTTTATCAAACTATCTTTGAATAGATCTAATTGGCTTGTTTATTTTGCGTGTAGTAAATTTAATGGTGTGGTGTTGTGACGTTTATGTCAGGTTGAGTGAAGGGAGTGAGGACTCAATTGCAGGAGAAATAATCGGTTGTATTGATAAAATAAAAACACAAACAAAAACTACCCCGTGGGGGAAAAACAAGACAGCAAGACTTAACTCGACACGACTTGACAAAAGCAGGGAAACACTCAAGGTAACAACGATCCAGCACAGGACTGCAAACACAAGGAGAATAAATAGGGAGAGCAAACAAAGAAGGTAACAAGGGAGGACAGGTAGGGCAATCAATAATCAGGTAACAAGATGGGCGGGGCTAGACAATTGACAGGAGAGCACATGGCACAAGGAAACATACATGACAAGCCATGTGCTCACACCAAACATGACTTGACCACAAGCACATGGCAAGTAAAGCAAATCACAAGCCATGTGCTCACACAAAACAGGACAACATGAAAGCACACAGCTACTGAAAAACACAAGCTGCGTGCTACACAGACAGTACAAGACAAAACATGACATGAAAGCCCGGGGCCGATGTAAACACGAACAAAACACGCGAACTCGAAACCACACGCACACACGACAAGACGAGAATGAGCGAAAGCTCATCCTGTGCGCTCACGACAGAATACAAATACGCGGAGCATGAATGTCCGAATCCCGACACAGAACCGAAACCAAACTAGACTGACGTGCCGGGATCCAAACACCACGCCCCCAACATGTAACAAGGCATACAAACAAGAGAACGCGCACAGCTCGAGAACGCTCGACAAAACAGTTTCTAACTGTTAACAGTTGCTAACTGTTAGCTCCTTCATGACAAAACAGGTGTCTCTGTCACAAAACCAAGAAATAAACTAGACAGAAATTGAGCGTCAGCGTCAGTTCTGGCAGGCCAGGTAGTCAAGCCGCTGCTTATGCTATTTGCTATCAACACTGTCCCGTCAGCTGATCTGCTCCAGCTGAGCCGCATTAGCTGGTTAACTCCCCTCGCTGTTCAATGGCCAAAGCTCAAACAAGGCGCCCTATTTAAAGCTCATTCACCTTGCTCATACATGCTTGCTGCTCGCTCTGCTGGCTCGCTTCTGCTGGCTCGCTGCTCGCTTCTGCTGCAAATATTGACACAGGACTCGACGTGATTCATTCTCCATTCATCTCTGAAAATCTTCACGAAGCTAAGTTCCTTTTTTCATTGCTAAAAGCTATCAGTGTGTTGGCAACATGCTTCTTGTTAATGCTGTCAGTGTGTTGGCAACATGCTTCTTGTTAATGCTATCCGTGTGGCATTTGGGCTATCTAACTAGTCGTTTTCATAAAAATGCTTATGCGATCATATTGGCTACGTGCGTTATCTGTTGTCATTGGCAACTGATCGCGTTGCTCACGCTGGCCTTTACCACTATGCAGCGCAGATTCAAACAGCTGGCTGTGATAGGAATTAACTTCTGCGGACTGCCTCCGGACCGTATACAGCTCATTCTTACGCATTGTGCAACAACTACGGCGGCGACACTCGCTCCGGTTTAACCCTTTAAGCTATGGGGCGGTGGTTTCTGCTGCTTACGAACGATACCTCCGTCCCGATGTTCGGGATATTCTTGACGACCAGAAGCCATGAGCTCAAGTCTCTGATTTGTTTCGTTAATAAAACACATTTGATCATTATTTTGCTCGCGCTCTGCTCAGTTAACGCCCCTGAATGCGCTATCAGCTGTTAATTTATTCATCTAGCTCGTTCTCAGAGGTGAATTAGTCATCTATCCATAAAGCTTACACTGTAGACTGTCAAACAGTTTAAATACAGATAATCTAGGTAACAGCATGTTTTAGCTATTGCGGTCTTGATTAGTCATTTCAGTAATTAATTAATATTTTACTATTATAAATCGCTAAATTAGGGCGGCTCAGTCGACACCGTTCGAGACACTCAATTTTGTTTTGGGGGGAATAGCTCATGTGGTTAAATAATCATCCTCTGTATCACAGAGGATTGCCAGGTGTGGTTTTGTTTGGGGGGATATTTTAGCTCTCACAGTCTAAAACTGTGTGAGCGTTCCCTAATGCTGCTGCTGCTGTCCTCTGACTCTCTGCTATTTCATGGTGCTCATGAAAGGTCAGAGGACTCCCTGAACAGAGCCATACCGCCAAATTTCAATTCAGGAACATCAACCTGTTTGCAATCTATTCAAATAATTCTTAATTATTTGTCTGTGTGTTCTTGACTTTATGGACCTGACAGAAGTGACAGAACCCTGACAATTTAAGCTTGTTTTATGTCTCTACTGTTGTGAGTTCATCTGTCCTGTGTTTCCTGTGACATTATATATTTTTGGAATAATTATACCTATATATAATAATATATAATAAACATTTAAACGTTAACTATAGTATCATTTCAAAGCAATTGTATTGGGATGGAAATGATCTACCATGGTGGTCATAGCAGCAACAGAGTGACTAATATTTGGAGGTAATTATGCCTAGACGGTGAACTGTGCAAAATAATATTTACTGTAACTAATTAGATAACAACAATTGTTTTGTTTGTTTAAATTTAATTCAAGTAAACACAGAAAACATTTGATCACAATAGCAAGAAGGGCCTTACCTGTGATGATGTTGTCCACCAATGTTGTGGGCATGCAGAAGATGCCAACCAACAGGTCACTGATGGCCAGGTTGAGAATAAAGATATTGGTGACCGTGCGCATATTCTTGCTCCTTAGCACAATAAAGCACACCACTCCATTTCCCACCATGCACACAATAAAGATGAGGAGGTAGGATACAATGAAGATAGCAGACACCAAGGGCTCGTGCAGATAGAAGTCCACGTAGGTGATGTTTGGATAATGATATTGACGAGAGGAGGTACGGTTCACTGAGACATTGTGGCTGTCCTCCACAGGAGAGAAAAATAGAGATGATGTAGTGGAGTTGGGGTCCAATAGTGTGATCGCCATCTTTCTGAGGAGAGAACAATAATTAATTAATTAAATAACCAATTAAAAATGATTGACCTTTCCTACATTTCAAAGCAGGAGTGTGAGACAATTCAGACCAAAATGTGAGACAAAAGGTGATTACCATAGTCTAAAAAAGATATCATCCCTGTCATACCTTTTAAAAATATTCAAGTAGCTATTCAGTACGGTACAACGGCCTAAAGGCGCGCCGGGGTAAAAGGCACCTTTGATATTATTTTCCTCTAAACCACTAGATGGCACAAAAACTTTCTAAAACATCCGCTTTTCAAGATGCAGTGGAAATTTGCCTGATCCTTGATGCGATCGCAGACAGCAATGCAAAGTTGATTCTGTGCTAATTTGATCTACAATTTTTTTAAATGTTGTAGATTTAAGTTGCAAATGAGAATCCATAAAATTATTGAATATATTTTGAGACAAAGGTCTTGTACAGTTTTATACAAGCTAATTAAAGCAACAATTTTTCAATAACGCAAGAATATTATGTAAAAGTATGGTATTTGGGGTAAAGGCGCCCCTGCTGTCAGGGCTAAAGGCACAATTATAATTAACATGATAATAAATAACTGGCTGACCTTTCCATTTGTTGACATGACATGGTTACATTCAGATGGGAAATTTCATATAGTGTCCAACTTAGAGATAATGACCATATTTATAATGAAACCATAATATTTAAAAATATGACATTAATCATATCGTATAATAAAATATAATTTATTGTTACTAGTGTAAATCTATATTAAATTATGGGATCTCCTTCAATGCTTTCAGAATCATTACTTTTTAAAATAATTTTGTTTCTGTATTTTTTAAATATATTTTTAATTTTAACGTATTTTAATGACAGTATTTTTATTGAACATAAATTAATGCTTTTCTTTTTTTTTACATAAACAGAAAATATTACAAACTTTGCTAAAGTGATTGTTTTGAACAAGTATTAACTTAGACATTATTAAAAAATAAATTATTTTAGCTAAAGTATTTCCCCCTATTCTGGTGAGCCTTTTACCCCGTGTGTGGTAAAAGGCCCCCCTCGCCACCTCATACATTTATAAGATTTTTAAACAAAATTGCTCCATAAATGTTCAATACAAACATATATTTTTTTATGCAATCATACACTATGGGAGTAGTGGAAAGCACATTTCTTCTTAAGGTGTGGCTTTAGCCCAATTGTACCCTATGTTCCAGTATCATATAGGCCCTATATGATACTGGAACCTTCATATCTTTCACATCATATTGAGGAGAATATTTCCGCCACTTCAATGTCATATTCCCACAAGGTATAATTAAATGTCATTATTTAAATGAGATGTGCACGAATACACTCTCAGTTTTATGCACATTACCGTGCATTAACATGCAATGTGCTTTCAATATTATAAATTCTATTCCAATCTCTAACCAAATATGTGTTGTATGTGCTTTGTATGGCTAAAATTGGGAGGTCATGCATAATTTAAACTGTAGTCACATCTTGCAAGCAAGCTCCTTTCCTCGTGAAAGCTTAAGGTCATGTATGCAGGATAAACAAGTGTGACATGTAAGATATTACATGAAGAAGACTATTGAGCCTCTTTTATGCAGTGCTCTCAATTGTTTAAAAGCAGTTTAATGGCTGCATTGGTATTTTATGCTTCCTAATTGGAAAATACTTCCAATGTGAATGTACTCTTGTTGAGAGATGTTGTTGAGATCTTGTTGAGCTCAAGTTTAAGTAGGGTTGGCATATGACAGCACATTAGAGATGTTTTTCTTTTTCTTTTTTATAGTTATAATGTCAGAAATTAAATGTTGCATTGAATCATGTTCTGACAGAGACCTCTAATCATATTTAACAGCAATCTGATGTGGTGTTTCTAAATGGCAGATAGCATGTATAATTCAAGGTTCAATCCACATGTATTTACTGTCATTTTCACCTTCACCTTGACTGTTCTTTGAGGTGAGAGGACAAGGGCTTCTCTATAAAAGACATATTGGTTGCACAAACCAGCAACTTTAGCAAAAATTAATGAGGCTTACCCCTAACCCCACCCCTAAACCTACCCGTCACTGGGATAGACCAATCAGGGACGATGGCCTACCCCTAACCCCGCCCCTAAACCTACCCGTCACTGGGGTTAAGACCAATCAGGGACGATGGCCTACCCCTAACCCCGCCCATGATATATGGTGGGGTCCGGATAACAGGAAAGTACCTTAATTTGAAACCAGCTTGCATCAGCTAATTCAAAAAAACAAATGAAAAAGATTATTACAGTCTACAAACACTTAAAGCTTAAAAAAATAATTGCTCTATTTAATTAAAAATAATATAAAAAAACCAACCCGATCTCACGACCAATTCGTCCGAATTTGACGAGTGATTAAAAGATGGCTAATTCGTAACAATTCGTACGACCTCACTCGTACGAATTAGTACGATTTTTGCTAAAACGTACATATTTGACGAGTTGCCCAATTCGTACGAACCTACCCCTGACCCCGCCCCTAAACCTACCCATCACGTGGGTTTAGACAAATCGTACAAATTCGTACGAATGAGGTCGTACGAATTCGTACGAATTCGCCATCTTTTAATCACTCGTCAAATTCGGACGAATTGGTCGTGAGATAGCGTTGCAACAAACATACAGATTGGGAGGAATTTTCAGACTGCATTTACATAGGAATTAAGTTGTTTAATCAAGCTGACTCAAATTGTGGACAAGGTAGAGACAAAGCTGTATTTTTAAAAAGGGTTGGTAAAAAGAATCAGTGCAGGACTGACTTAAAATGCTCATAAAAAATAAGCTAAGAAGCAAACAATAATCTGCGATAGCCTTGAAGTCTTGATCAACATTTCATATGTACATATACATTACCATGCATCCGTTATTTATAGTCAGAACGTTATTTATGGACAGAACTTCATCTGCATTGGAAGCCATTTTCACTTTCAGATCACTGCTGTCTTATAAAATTGATGTGATCTATATTGAACTCTGAAGGACATGACTTTCCCAAGCATCACATCCCAGCTAATGTGGTTTGACGCTCTGTATTGTCCACTCTCCCATTTGTCTGTCTTGTTTTTTTTATTCAGAGAATGGCTTTTGTGTTGAATGACTGAACAGCAAATGCAAAAAAGGAAAGAGTTAAATATTAGAAATTCCAAGTGTTGTACCACCAATATTGTCCTATTATTGCCTTGCATTCATGCTCTGCAAACGAAGCAATGCACTTACATTGATATATACATGGAAATCATAAATAACAAATCTCATAACCTTGTATTTTGCAGTTAAAAAGACATCCTGAAAATGTTAGTCTTCAGCTTTCTTTTTTCGAATGCTGTGTCATGTGTGTTATCCTGATGGTGTTTGTGTGTATGACCTTGTGCACCGTCTATACATGACTCGTAATGGCCATATATTTTTTATGGACAGGCCACTTGTGATTAACCTGATTTACTTGTTAGGTGTTCAAGCACGAAGTGCTGAAAACCTATTGTAATTGTTAGGATTTAAAAAAAAAAAAAATATTCCCCTAAAACGCATCGTGCAGCCCAAACCGTAAGGCCTAGAGACTTGAAACTCGGCCAGATGGTAGGCCTCAGTTTGGGGAGAACCTATCAGAGTATGACCCCGATTGGCCCATAGGTGGCGCTACAGCAACCAAAAGTACTAAATCGCTCATACCTCCTAAACCGTTTGACTCAGACTCAGACCGTTTTACACCACTGTGATCCTTGGCTCAAGACGGAAAAAATGTATATCTCCAAAATCGATTTAGGCAGCAAAAATGTTCTGCTATGTCGACTTTTGTCCAAAACCTACTTTTGCGAACTAGTCCCTGGTTTTTCGCCCGATCGGAACCAGACCAGTCTAGGACTCTCTAGATCAATAATTATCAAAAAAAGTTGAAATTTTACATTTGGGTGGCTGCAACAGGGTCATTTAAATCGCTCATAACTCCTAGGGCGTTTGTGCTAGAACTTGGTATATCATGGTAAACTATGGTAAATCATTCTAGATTCATGGTAAATCATACTGGAACATGGCAAATCATGAAAAATCACACTAAAATGTGGTATATCATGGTAAATCATGCTAAAACATGATCTATTCCATGATGTCAGTGGTTAAATGTTTGCTACATAAAACTTAATGGGCCCTATTTTAACGATCTGAAACGCAAGTGTCAAGCGCAAAGCGCAAGTAACTTTGTGGGCGGATCTCGGCGCTGTTGCTATTTTACCGGCGGGATAAATGACTCTTCCGCTCGACGCAAATCTAAAAGGGGTTGGTCTGAAGTAGCCTCATTATTCATAGGTGTGGTTTGGGCGTAACGGGAAATAAACCAATAAGAGCGTCATATCACATTCCCTTTAAGAGCATGATGAACGAGGTGCGCTTGTTCCATGGCGCAATACTATTATAACAGCGCATTTACCAGGCGCGCTTCAGAATCGGTTCACAGTCGAGGAGATCGATGTTCTCGTCAGAGCCGTAAAAGAAAGAGAAGTGACATTGGGGATGGGACAAACCCACCCAAATTAGCTTCGGTTAAACATGCATATAATAATTTGGGTAAATGTGTAAGCTTTATGCCTATTTTTCCCATCGTCATGGACACAACAATGATTTCCCTCGTGTTTTAATATTTTTCCTTATAATAATGTATAATTTGCAAAAAAGTAAAATGCATCTGTGTAGATGAGAGAATCATCTAAAGTGTATGCGCGTTGTTCACACTCTGTATTATGGCCAAGCATGCGCGCTTAAAATAGCATCTGAATGTACGCACAACGCGCCACTGACTTTAGACTAGGTTTTTTCTGGTCAGTGGCGCAATTGTTTTCTGGAACTGCAAAATAGCACCAGGGATTGTTTGCGCCGGAACACGCCTCCTTTTTTGCGCTGAACTGCCCAGGGAGCGCAAGTTCATTTTCCGTAGTTTGCCGGCGTGCGTCTGTGGAGGGA